AATTTTTCTCTCATTTTCATCTACTCTTCTGAGTATTTTGCATAACGGACGGCAGTTAGCTTATTAGTTTTGATTTGGTATTTAAACAAATTAAAATCCAAAATTTTGTTTACAAATTTTTAGTTTGGAATCTAACTCTATATTAGACAGCTTTGCGTTTCAACGATATTGTTTATTGAATATATTGTCAATATATTACTAATTTTCTATATTATTATTAACTTTCACTTAAACCCAACTTGAGTCAAAATAAGCATATAGGAAATATTGGCAGTACACCTACGAAACAGTTGACCTCAATATTTATTTATGGCATATGTACATATATWGCTATTTTTGTATAGCCAACTTTACTTGGGAACACACTTTGTAAATACACATTTGCTTTTTTTATATATATTTTTTTTTTATTTGCTGTGTGAATATTTACATGAAATGTGTGTATACTCAAATGCAAAGTTTAAGGTTTCGTGTTTTATTTAAAATAGGCACTTCGAATATGTACATATGTAATTTCCTATAACGTACAGGTACACTATGCTACACAGTTATCATTTATGTACTCGAGTACACACTAGACATTAAAGCAATATCAGCAGAATAAATATTAATCACCTTATTGAATTTTTATTATTTTGCTTTTTGCGCTGATAAGACTTTATATTATATTTATTGTATTTTGTTTCAATAATTTTTTAGCGCGTGCCGTATTTTTATTGTTATTTCAAAAATATGATTTCTTAGTTTATTCCTGTTTTTGTGCGCTCGCTGACTCGTTCACCGCCGCAACTGAACGCTCGCTTGTCGCGTCTGGCGCTTTTATAGTTGTCGCTACACACCGCTTCAGTCGCTTACCGACGCGACGCACTAACGCTCAATTCCAGTATGGCGCTCAATCGATTTTTGATTTTTTTACTTATTTTAGTTTTAGTTTTTATGATGTCAGTTGAAACTGCATTTAATTTTCGATTTTGTTTTGGTCGGGTTTTTATACGAACGGTTTTATTTATGCTTTATCCACTCTTCCGCTGCACAAACAAATAAAAAAAGCGGCATTTTAAGGTTATATGTACACAAATAAGTATGTCTAAATGAATATGTATTATATATAGACGTGTATGCAGAAAACACGATATCTGCGCCAAAAGACAGACAGATCCCCGCCGCTTCGTTTGTGATTGTTTTCCATTAAACAGCTATTAAATTTGCATACGAGTTGGAATTAGTATGCGTTTAATATATCTGTACACATGGGCATATGTACTATATATACATATATACAAAGCCATTGTCACTTTTGAAGAGGGCGCGCCCCCTTGAAGACACCATAACGATCGGCAATTGTGAGTGCAAACATTGAGTAGACCATATCTACGGAGAGCACTTCATTAGGTGAGCAAGAGTTAAGAATCAATGTAAATACGCTCACGTATTCATAATTAKTTTGAGAGGTGATGGGATATGGCATGTAATCCCGAAAAATTTTAGAATTTTAGGTTAGTAGTTGTACACGATCTTCGAAGGCGTTAAAAATGCTCCTCCATTGCTRCAGTGATATCGGCATTCTTCATAGATGAAATTAAAAATGATTTCCCTCTCAAGAAGATATTGTCACTACATTAATCTACGCTCGAAAAAAGTAAAAAATAAACAAAATAGTGGCGTTCAAAAAATGGATTTAACACCAAATTGTGGTCCTTTTTTCCTGTTTCTAATCTTGGAATAGATGCAATACGGAATACAGGAAAAGTAGTAAAAATAGTGATCGGATCATTTGTCTCCGTGTAAACAGTAAACTTAGTGTTTGTTTAGAATTCGGTAGCTCAAAAAGTATTTAATTTATTTAAAAAAAAAAATTTTTTTTTTTCAAACTGTCACCTTAACGTTTATCAGTATATTTATTTACTTCAGGTAAACTCAATTAAGATAATAAATAAATTAAAAGTCGGGACTCGAAATAAAGTGCTCTCACTGTGTGACATAATTACTCGTACTCTATTGCAMTACTCTCCGCTGGCACAATTGTTGCTCTCTGTTTATATTCATGCATAAATGCACTGCGGTTTTATGCCTCCGATGATTTTGAAAAAAAAAAAAAAAGTTAAATTAATGTGGTGTACTCACTTACATAAATACATGCGTGTGTGCATATCAATACACACATTTAAACATATTTATTTTTTTTAGTTCATGTGGACTTTGCCCCCAACAATAGTATGTGCTCAAAAAAGTACTTGTAATGCCTACTTGCGGAGACGGCAAAAACATAATTTAATAAATCAAAAGGGTATTATTTACATATGAGTAAAATGATGTCGTATATTATATTTACACGCATATATAAATACTTTTATATTATTTGTAATCCTCAATGTGATATTAAAACGTGATTGCGTCCATTGGCAACGTGAGTACTAAAAGAAAAAGCTAATATTGAGCAAACTTGTTGACTCCTACGGTGATTGTCACAAGATAGCTAGAAAAGTCTGTCTGCCTATTTGCGAAATCTTACACTTTGAAAGTCAATGAAACTAAAGACGAAACTAGAGCTACTAAATTTTTTAATATTGTCGACTTTTCAAAACAAAAAAGGTCCCCCTCTTTCTCTGCTAACCTCAGCTGATAACGCATTGAAAACTTTCAGTGTTGGGGGTTTTGCATTTACTCGCTCTGCCGTGTATTTTATATTCATCTCCCCTACCATGCACTTTGACCCTGTAAAGCGCGAAAAAACTCTATTAACSCGAAAATCATTTATTTGCGAAGCTATTGGATCTATAATTGAATGTGTTTTTTTTTTTTTAATTTGAACGTCGTTTTGAGGAAAACATCTACAAAGGTATTATTTTAAGTATTATCCAACTGAAGCTATAACATTTACCCATCCTTCTGGCAATTTACGGATTCCATCACAGAAGAACTGAACCTTGGAATGGCGGCCAAGGATGAATCAAACTATTTTTTATATTCTGTTCTGAGGTGAACCATATTCCAGTAAGGGGGTTCTGCTTCGACCGATGATTGACGGAAAGGAAAAGGCTTGGGCTCCAAAGTGTGGAATTTATAGATAATTATCTCCTCGTGTCTAGTCGTAAATTCCGGGAGTTTTCGACAATTACTCGCTTCAATTTGATGAGTCGTTATGGATAGCGTTCTTCATAAATATTATATGGACATTCACCCGGTTGTGGAAGCTCATAATACCGCACGCCCTTCTGCTCCCACCAAATATGTACCTTGGCGTCAAAAATATTCGACTTTGTCGTCGATTTGGCTGGTTCATCAGGTTTCATAAATGATTTTTTGCAGTTAAGGTTGCCGTAATGCATCCATTTTTCATCACCACCCGCATGCAAAAGTGACTTCTTTTTGTTGAGTTCAAACAGCACATCTGAGATGTTAAATCGTCTTCCAATATCTATTGGCTGATTAAAGTTTTATAGAGAGGGGATTTTTTTCTCAGAAAACGTTTAAATTAATTAATACAAAATTTTGTATACACATTCTGGTATTTTTAACTCTGTTTTAAGACTTAGTATTAGTAAAAATATTTATTTCGAAAGAAGCTGCAGCTGACATCCGGGAGCTCCTCTCAAAAAAGAGGTTTTACGGTAACCACTATATCTCTGAACTGGATCCTCTGAAATTAAAAAAACTAAACAGACTTCGTTAAAGTAATGTTATATCTAGTAAAGCAAATCGAAGGAATAAGTAAAGTGAAATTTTTTCACAAAATGTCGGGTTCTCAAAATAAAAAATTCCGGCATTAAATTTAAATCGTGTTCAAATTCGGGGCAAATCGATTTAGCCAATTTCGAATAATGTCACCGACTTTGAAAACACCATTTTGAGAAAAACTCGTTTAAAGCTTGACCTTGTACTTTCACCACTCTGAAACGCTTTTTCGAATTTGCGTGTAACTTCGAAAATATTCACCGGCACGRTATGAAATTTTCATTCAGTTAGAGCATGCTCCCCATAAACTTCCCGCAAAATACGAAGACTTTCAGCTGAGGGTATCTCATATTAAAGTATGTAATGAAGAAGAACTCATCAAAAAAACACTTTTAGRCACAATGATCGACATACTACATATTTCAGGCATCAGGCTTAAGCTTTTTGTAATTCTTGCATATAGTATAATCCAATTCACTAAGCACTGTTCTGATGTTAAACTTTTTAAAAAAGTTACTGTTAGCTTGAGATGGAAAATGATTCATTAGATAGATTACTCAAAAGAACTTTCAACAAAATAATTTCGAAAATTAGTTTCCTGTAAGAATTAAATTACGTGATCCGTTCCTGTCATTCAAAATCACAGAGATGACGACGTAGCTAACATTCTCAATTAAAAAATTAATAAATACATACATACATTATATTAATTACATAGCAATATTCATAGCCCATTCATACTACATGTGAAAAACTCATGCAACTATGTTTGTTCGTGTGTATATTCAAGTGGCTGATATGAGGTGTCAAAAGTGTATCAATGCACACTAACATCGCAATAAAATGAAGCCCTTATGACATGGCAGATTTATATATATTTATGTACATATGTAGTTACGAAAATTAGTGGGAACACGTACACTATTCAGTTATACATTGATGTGTGCGATTTTTTTTTTATAAATGCAGCAAAATAATTCTCCATTTAATAAGCGGCTATGTATTAATTCTAAAAGGAGCACTAACAATTTTACCACACCAACTTAGAGCAGTACCTCCAATAATTGCTAATATCAGTTTACAGCACAGTCATTGAAACCACAAAATGAACTTTAGGCAAAATAAAATTTGATCAATACCTTTACTTACCGAATTTCGAGTTGTTGTTGCACACATTTTCCGCTGTATGCACAGATAGGCATCGCAAAACATCATTAGGCTAGAATTTAATCGAACCCGTCAATATCCCAAACGCAGAAATTCTGTGCTCTARTAGAGTTTAATCAACCAGCATTCAGTGTATTTGCATTTTACTTTCGCCCAACATGAATTGGCAACGCGTTTTACGCATAACCAACGGCTTCTTGCTGCTCACCGGATTTCAGCTACACAGCTTTGAGMCCAAAACGCAGCGGTTTCACATATCCTTGTGGGGTCTCGCAAATTTCATCGCACTAACGCTATTCTACGTCATTTGCTTTAATCAGCACTTCACGCACTCGGCACTGCTGAAGATTTTCCACGATGTGTCACCGTTTTTTTGGCAACTAATACGCGCGCACCTCTTGCTGGGACTTAAGATTTATATATACCGAATTTTTACCATGGCCGTAGTGGGTCGTGCTTGCAATGGTATTTTAGGCGTTTGCCCACGTGTTTTTGCGCATAAATTCAAATTGGAGGAGGCGTTTGCATACATCTTGGTTTTCTCAACGTTTGCGCTCTCACTCTGTTTTGCTGYATACATTGCTTATGAAATGCAATTTGAATTGCCCCCTTGGGATAATATTTTCGTAAGTTTTGGTCTATTCATTCCGCATTTCGCTTTAGCCGGTGCTTTAAAGCTGTATACACTGAATTGCTGGTTATTGCGCGAGGAATTGAGGCAGTTGAAAGTGGGACTGCAGGACATGCTGATGGARCAATTAAAAACTGACGTTCAAATTGTGGAAAACGACATTGCAATGTCAACAAGTGTCAGCGCCACAAATGCTTGTGTCAAAATACCAACGACTAATATACAAAAGGAGTTGGCGCAATACCTTAAACGCTTTGAGCAGTTGGCTGCTGAAGTGAAGTTTGTGAGTGATGCATTAAGCAAAGATGTGCTGCTACTATTGTTAATGAATAGCATAAGTCTGCTTGCCGGTGTTTATGCACTTGTGTACTTTCAAACAAGTTGGCACTTGTTGTTTTCGCCCCCGTGGAAGCGTATTTTCTATGCTTCGAATATTGCTATTTACGTGCTCATCTTCTGGGATTATACTTGTTTGTGCACAAGTATATGTTTTCTCAACAAAGWGGTGTGTAAATGTGTGTTTAGCGGTTGCATTTCTTGTTTATATTTTTCATATGCCAACAATTTCAGAAAGTTCGGATACTTGATGTTGTTCAAGTAGCTATAAAATCAAAAACGCGTTTTGAAAAGGCTGCTCGTTCTCTCCTGAAAGATATTCGYAGCGCATTGACCATAGAGCTGCGGTTGACTTTGTTCAAACTGGTGGAAGTAAACGCGTGGAGTTTAATAATGGTACAAATTTGATATATTACAAATAGGCTTCAATAATTATTTTTTTGTTTTTAGGTACACCTAATCGTTGGCATAATAACTTCCATAATCGTTGTTTATCAGTACTTGAATGATCAAATTATTTCAATACATGCTCAGCTGGATACTGATGACAGTGATGATTAGAATTTAGACAAACATATAAAAAAACGCTCAGTGTACCTATATATATAATTTTGTTCTTTGTAAAGATAAGAGCAGAATATAATGATTTCGTTTTAGTTGAATAAAAAAACTAACTACACTTTGGCTTTTATTACAAGGCTTCCGCTTCCGAAAAAATCTTTCCTCTATGCTGAAATTCAGCAAAATATTATAGTGATGCCATATCTAATAATAACACTACACAAAATAATTGAAATTATTGGAGCATTAATATGTAATTGATTTTGTTAACAAACAATACAAAATCGGATAAATGTGACTCCAAAATATAACAGTAAGGTGACTGATAATTAAGTTCAAAAATATTGTTTAAAAATATAGAATTCGTATAATGAACATGAAATTATCATAAATTTTAAATTTCATGTTTTTATTGCAATTTATTGTAATCTCTTTTGTACGGCAACACTAAGCCTGGCAGCACTTAAAAAACGTCAAAATGTCAAATGTCATAAACAACGAGACGCCAAACGAATGCGAAATCAATCATAAACGCCGGATATTTAATAGAAATTGTTTATTTAGGTTGGAGAAAAGTGAATAAATAAGCTAGCATATTGCAAAATGAGTGCTGGAAATATGTTATATGGTGGCGATGAAATCGGGGCACTTGTATTTGATCCGGGTCATCATTCTTTGCGCGTGGGCTATGCACAAGAGGATACACCAAAGGCAGAGATTCCGTCTGTGGTAGGGGTAGGACCTCAAGCACCGGACACAAATATGGACATAGAAACAAAAACTGACAACAACATAACACAAAATAGTAATTATAGAAAATGCAATGAGATATAAATTGTAARATTATTTATTAATTCTTGCAGATGCAGACACACGCAAATACTATGTTGATACCACATACGTAAATGTACCGCGTACTCAAATGGAGATACAAACTTATATGAAAGATGGCATGATCGATAATTGGGACTTATTTGAAAAAGTTATTGATTACACATATGCAAAGGTCATACAATCGGATCCCGAATACCATCCCGTGTTGTTTTCGGAGGCCTCATGGAATGTCCGTAATAATCGTGAAAAACTGACAGAGCTCATGTTCGAAAAGTATAATGTGCCCGCTTTTTATTTGGTTAAAAACGCAGTGTTGGCGGCATTTTCGAGCGGTCGAGCAACCGCATTGGTTGTAGATAGTGGTGCAACACACACCTCAGCCGTGCCTGTGCATGAAGGATATGTACTTTCTCAGGCGGTTGTAAAATCTCCGCTGGGCGGTGATTACCTCTCAATGCAATGTCGCCAACATCTCGAAAAACAGGGTATAGATTTATCRCCGGCATATAAAATTGCTTCGAAAGACGTGGTTAAAGAACGAGATAATGCGCGATTTACGCTGCGTAAATTACCCGAAAACTTGACACAGTCTTGGCAAAATTATATGCTCAAGTCATTATTGCAAGATTTTCAAATGAATATCTTACAAGTACTAGAAAATCCTTACGATGAGAGAGTGGCTGCACAGATACCCAGTGTTCATTACGAATTTCCCAATGGCTATCATCAGGAGTTTGGTTCAGAACGTTTCAAATTGGCGGAAAGTTTATTCGACCATGCTATGCTCGGTGCAGGCCAATTGGCATCTACGAGTGTTGGTATGTGTGACGCAGATGTGCGTTTATCGCTTTTYGGCTCTGTTGTAGTGACTGGCGGCAACACACTCTTACAAGGATTTCCTGAGCGTCTAAATCGCGACTTRCAACTACGTGCGCCCTCCAACACACGATTGAAGATGATTTCAGCAAATGGTAGTGTGGAACGACGTTTTGGCGCTTGGATCGGTGGTTCGATTTTGGCCAGCATTGGCACATTCCAACAAATGTGGATATCATCGCAAGAGTACGAAGAATCCGGTAAAGGTCAGGTGGAGCGGAAATGTCCCTAAACATATTGTGTGTGTATGAATTAGATATTGACTCGACTATGTACTAATTTAAATTCGAAGTTTAATAATAATTATGATATAAACTTAAAATGGATACTTACAATTAATTATTTTTTCATTTCAATAATGCCATAATTGAATTTAAATTGGTTTTATCTGCTTTATTGGTGTATTTTTTACAGCACTTATAAAAGGTTACTTTACTACTTTAAAAATTTGGAGGCCATACAATTTTTTCGAACTTCGAAAATCAACGTAAATTTATATGTAAATGTTGGAGTAACTTTTTTAGTTATTTCTAAAMTCATATTTGATAGCCTAGTAGTTACTTTAGAGCCTGATTATTGTTCTTAACCAAATCTTTTGCCTTCTGTATTTCCTCCGTCCAATTCTGTTGCGAAATCATTTTTACCGCTTCCTTCATTATATTCTTCACCTTATCAACGTTGGCAGCAAAAGTGTCTACTACTTGTTTTACATCGACAGCGGCTTGTCCTTCACGCCAGCTATCATAATCAGTAGCGATTGCAACACCGGCATATAACAAAGATGCCTCCTTGGCCAGCACTACCTCGGGAACGATAGTCATGTTAATTAAATCGCCGCCCCACAAACCAAACATTTTACTTTCGGCTTTTGAGGAGTAGCGTGGACCTTCTATGCACACGACTGTACCGCGTTCGTGGGCTTTATAACTTAGTTTCTTTGTTGCCGCTAATAAAATTTGTCGTGTGGGTTCATTGAACAAAGGAGACATGGGTAAATGACATACGCCCGGGGGACTTCCAGGCTGACCATCAGTAAATGTTTCMATGCGCTGTGTTGTACGGTCAATGATATCATCTGGTATGACCAAATCACCGCGCATGAAGTCCTCACGTAGCGAACCACATGCCGAAGACACTAATACATGGGTACAGCCAGCTTCTTTGAGTGCCCAAATGTTTGCACGATATGGAACATTGGTTGGCATTATGTTATGCTTGCGGCCATGTCGGGCCAGCAAAACACATTGGACACCATTTATTGTACCTTCAATTAGCACATCAGCAGGCGGGCCGTAAGGAGTCGTAACTGTTTTTTCCTTACGTCCTTCTAATATATCTGGATCGTCTAAGCCGCTGCCGCCAATTATGCCAATCTAAACATATTGCTGTCTAATTTTATTTTTATTTTAAATAAACGCTTGAGACTTACTTTGACCATGCAACCACACATTCCAGCCTCGGCAGGCTCCTTTTTAGGAGCAGGCTTCGGTTCCCGTTCGCAGCACGCCATGCTTATTGGACTAGTCTAGATAAGTGAAGTGAGCGAAGTGCGAGTACAAGAATTCCAGATTAATATTGTCTAATTTTTTTTGGTGACTTTTTAAAATTTTAAATTTCCAACTAAAAGTTTTTAAAGCAAATAATTTACTCAGACATTTTCTCCAACAGATACTTATGTACATGATTTCTGAGAAACAAGTATTATATCAAGAGGTGCGCAAATTGAATTCTACAGGTTTTGTACAATATTCATAATAAGTCATGAAMATTTTTTTAACGAACTGGTCTTAACTTTATTTTAAAACATTCCAAATACGATTTGTTGCACGAACAAAGATGCACATAATTAGGAGTAAATGCTAAATGTGCAGAGTGATATACAACTAWAATAGGGTATCGTAAAATATAACAGGTTAGGTTAATTCGGTGGCTAATACGGCAAAATAAAATATTTTATAATTATTTTGAAATTATGCTGATTGTTGCTCATTCTGATGGTGTTGTGTTTTTCTTTGCTTCTTGTGAGTTTCATGATCGTTGTATTCTTTTGGAGCTGGAACTAAGTCGTAGAGTATGGAAATTGAAGTTAATTTAGGAAGCAAGTTCGTTTTGTTGTTTGGGTGCTTTGATTTTGAACCGGAGATTAGTGGGCGACGTTGTTGTATAATTTCACCAGTAAATTCTTGACATAACAGTAAAAAGCGTCACATTGCACCGGACATTGTGTTCTTGCAAATGCATTCCTATTTAAAATAAKTTGTTTAATACATACTTCATTACATAATTAATAAAATATAATTGGTACCTTGGCGTCCAAAATATCTTCGGTCCAATCTTCTTTGGCTATATTCTGAACGGCCTTCATTAATATTTGTTTCACCTTGAGGACATTTGCGGAGAAGGTCTTCAACACATCTTGGACATTAACACCTTCGCAACCCATGCGCCAGCAGTCGTAATCGGTTGCAATTGCCACAGAACCATATAATAGACCAGCTTCTTTGGCCAATACAACTTCGGGACAAGTGGTCATATTAATAAGATCACCGCCCCATTGGCGAAACATGTTACTCTCAGATCGCGAAGAAAAACGTGGACCTTCAATGGTTACAATGGTTGCCTTATCATGTACGTTGTAATCTAACTCTTTGGCTGCGGCAACTAGCACCGATCGTACACGTTCACTAAAACATGGAAACATACTTAAATGACAAACCCCACGAGGACTTTCCGCACCGCCATCGTAAAAGGTTTGTGCACGTTTCGTGGTGCGATCAATGAAATCATTTGGTATTACCAAATCGCCAGGATGAATTTCTTCACGCAATGATCCGCACGCGGTTGATACAATTAAATGTGTGCAGCCAACTTGTCGCATGGCCCAAATGTTGGCACGATAATTCACGTTASTTGGCATAATGTTGTGTTGGCGACCATGACGTGCCAACAGCACGCACTTTACACCACCAATTTCACCTTCAATCAAGACATCTGATGTGCTGCCGAATGGTGTCTTAACTTCGGTCTCCTTGCGATTTTCTAAAATATCCGGATCATCAAGACCACTACCGCCAATTATACCAATCTAAGAAATTATATTTTTCTTTATCACCACATCAAAATATAAATCACTAAGTTTATTTAGTAGAAACAATTCCAAATTACCTTAACGGATATTGGTTCTAGGTCAGTGTCCTTGCATTTGATATGTAGCATTGTGTTGACTTCCAAATTGTGTTACAAATTGTGTGACCAAAACGAAAAAGAGTCTGCGGAATGAATATACATGAATGTATTTCGTTTCTATATACACATGTCGCAACTGTCGCGGTTAAGGTCAGCAGTAAGATAAGCCTATAGATAGAAAAAACAAAAACTACTGTAGCGAAGGGTTGTGCAGAGAATACCAACAAATTTTTGACAAGCAATCAGAGGCGCATCCCATGAAATGCGCGCACATTATAATTATTAATAAATAAAAAAAGCAASAAATCACTTAAGTTAAAAAGTATATGGTAACAAAAGTATATTCTACATAAAAAAATTGAAAAATAGTTATGCGTAGAAATTTTAATCAACAATTCAACAATCTTTACTAATTGATTGACTTACATATGTATGTACATACATCTTTGAGGAGGCTGTCATCATTTATATTATATTTCATCTTTTAAAAAACTTTCAACGGCTATAGAGAAAGGAAATGTATGTATGTACGTTTAAATCCTTTACCCCAGAAAATGAAATCAGCTCAATAAAAGTTATACCCAATTTTATCATTATTTACATTATAAACGTTTACTATTTAATGTCAATTATTGTTCGTACAATAATAAAATAAAAATAATAAATTATTGTCCCGGTTCCGTTATTTTTGCATGATTCTTTGCTCGGTTTTCATTTACTCCGACAAAAGGAATGACGGAAACAACCGTTCTTCAATTTCCAAAAGCTATAAAATTAAGAAATAAATGGTTTAAACTTTGCAATCAAAGTTGTTRCTCAAATTAGCAGGAGTGTGTTCCAAACGTTTTAAACCAAAATTATTAATAATAAAATAATTGGTAAGTTATTCGAAGCTGGGTATATTACTTTACTATTTTAAAGATTTTTGATTTCTGTTAAGTTGATTTAAAAKCAAATTTGGTGCCGTCAATACAATTTTATAAAACAACAGGTTTGCACCTCATTTCAGMATCGCGCAAAGATAATATGAATAGGAAAGAAGTTAGTGATTCCACAATGGCGCCAAATATTGCATATACTTCGGGGTACAAGCAAAAATGTAGAGAACACAATGAAGTCTTACAGTATGTTTGTGAAAATTGCAGAATGCTTCTTTGTAATTTTTGTTTCCGGAAAAGCCATACTGCACACAATTGTTTTCAGATTGACAATTTCCTAACCCATAGGAATGATCTACTTTTTCGACTCATAGAAAGTGGYAGATTGGCGACCAACTGTTATGAAGATATTGGCTATAAAGAAGTGGATTCTGCGCGTCATATTGATAACAACTGCAATTTATTRGCACAAAGCATAAGGAATACCTTCCGACCGCTTATAGCGTCTTTGCAGCAACGGGAAAGTAATCTCTTAGATGTTGTAAATAAAATGCATAAAAATCGAATGGAAAATATGTATGAACAAATTTCAGCACTAAAGGCTTCATATTTGGGCTTAATGAAAGTAACTAAAAAACTAAATAAAGTAGCTAAAAATGGACATCAGTTAGAAAATCTGTACATTGTTACGCAAATATTAGAGGCACAGCGGCAAGTCGATATCTATGCAAAAATATTGGAAGAAAAACAATACAAGGACGAGTTTTATAAGTTTTATGCACCCCAAGTACCTAACGAAATTTTGAGGAATATAGAAAACCTAGGGTCCATCCAACTAGATGACAATAATGACTTTACTGCTTYAAGCAATATTCCAAGAACATTAGAAGATGCTACTGAAAGCTATATAATCCTTTCTTCATCACAAGAAACCTCCAGCAGTGAAGTGGAAATTAAAGTAGAAAAAGATACATGTAATAAAACTAAAACACAAAAAAGTGAAAACGATAGAAATAGTGGTATTGGACAAGCTGTGCCTGGTTGTTTGAATAAAGTCAAAGCTTTACGTTCGGATTTACCGTCTTTGGCATTTGCGCCTAAAGGAAACGGTCAGGGTCATGTTCAACGACCTTGGGGAGTTTGTGTCAATCAATTAGGGGATATTTTTATTACCGATAGACTTAATCATAATGTACAAATTTTTAGTCCAAATGGCGAATTTATATTTAGATTCGGCCGTAAAGGAAAGAGTGGTGGACAGTTTAATGCGCCAGCCGGAATCTGTGTGGACAAAAATGGTCGAATTATTGTTGCGGATAAAAATAATCATCGCATACAAGTGTTTTCATCAGGTGCCAAATATTTACTGTCGTTTGGACGTTTGGGCACAAAATGTGGGAAATTAAAATTCCCGTTCGATGTTGCTGTTAATACAAAACTACAAATTGCAGTAACCGATTCGGCAAATCATCGCATTCAACAATTCGATTACAATGGRCATTTCATTCGTGAAATACCGTTAGGTATTTGCACATTCACTGGTTATGAAATAACTCCGCGTGGCATATGCTATACGCCTAAGGGTAACATAATTGTAACAGATTATGTAAATCACTGTTTGCATCTTATTAGTCCTGTGAAGGAAAAAGTAATTAGAAATACTAAATTTATTTAAATCAGTAAGTAAATTTCTAATGAGATTAAATTACAGATTGTAAGTACTAAAGGCTGTCTCGGATTTGGATATTTACAATTTTCTCGTCCCTCTGGTGTGTGCTGTGACGATGATGGGACAATAATAGTTGCAGATTGCCATAACCACCGCATCTGTGTTTTCAGTTCGGCTTTGGAAAGCTTATGGAACGTAAGTAAAACTAAAATATGTTCAATTAATAAATAAATAACTTAGCAATAATAAAATTTAAATCAACATTCCCAACTTTTGTTTTATTTTAGATTGACATACGCCCATCAGTCAATGGCTTAAACAATACTTACTGTGATGAAACTGATCGTACTTGCGATGTTGCTCTGACGAAGGATGGTCACATCGTTTTTATATCGGAAATGTTGCCTGCACATGAAGCTGCCCAAACAAGCAAGAGATTCGTACACGTTTATTAAATTTATTAATAGCAACTTATTCACTGACCAGCATTAAATGTGTGTGTAAAAATAGCTTAATTCAATAAAAAAAWTTTTTCGACATTACATACTTTATTTATTTCCATATTAATATATACAGTTTTATTTTCATATTCACGCTTCGTTGTTCTTAAATGAATGCGGGCATTTAAATATTCGAACGAAATGGTCGTCCCCACAACTAGCTAGCAGAAAATGGTCGGACGTGCTGTTATTATTACGTAATGGCTGAAATTGCAAACGCTTCACTGCACTATCATGCGCTTTYTCAAAAGTAACTTTACTGCAAAATCGAAATAGAAATATTGAAGTGACGCATGAGCATTGAATAACTTAAATCAATTTTTTGCGCGCATATTTACCTCTCTTCAACGGCTCTTAACTGTTTTTCATTTTCAACCAATTGTTGCAGCACTATATCACCATTCGAAAAACCTATAGCAATCTGATACAGTCCAGGCTTTATCAGTTTCGGTGCAAAGGTAACTGCAGTCACGGGATTTGCATATGTTTCCTTGAGCCGAATGTCCCATTTATCACCATTCTCACCATTGACTTGTGTCCACACACCTAGTAYGGCATCACGACCGCCAGTCAAAAAATATTTGCTATCATGCGACCAATCACATGTMCAAATAATACGACTATGCACCGACATTTTAGTTGTCGACTTTTGTTTGAGYCGATAAGTGGGTTGATTATTTGTGGTGCTTACATCTTCAATACGYTCAAAAAGTGCCCATGTGCGATCACGTGAGACCGAGAGTAARAATCTACCATTTGATGAGAAGCGCATCTGAGTTACTGTAAGTTTATGCGCGGCAAGTTTTTGAATTTGCTTCCAAGWAGTGKTGTCCCTGTAAAGTATGTTGATTAGGAAATGTTAAAAATATTTATAACTTACTAGGAAATAACACCTTACCAAAGTATTATTTGCGCATGCTCCTCATTCGTGGCGCGACATGCGGAAGCCAGCACTTTGCCGTCCGGTGAAGCGGCCAGTGCATAAATTTCGAAGCCGTGTCCGTAAAGTTTCTGTATTTCCGGCCAGAGCGTATTTTGCATAAGTGTCTCTTCTTGTGGCGGTGAGTCTAGCGTAACCGGTATAAAATAGTTTTCAGGGTATTCGTCCTTAATGTGTTTTTCTTTTGGAACCGAGTCTATATCAGCGCTATACACAGCCTTATTCGATAGGCCCAGTGATGGCACAGAAGCCCCTTTTGGTAAAGCTGTTAAATATATACATATATATAACTAAGCACACTTGTTTGAATTGAGATTCAAGAAAACATACTTTKCAATAAATCATCACCCTCAGCATCATCCTGAACACCGGTTATGCGTCTGAAGTTTTCAATGTAATTGGCAGACGCCTGGAATGTACGTACAATTTTCTCTTCAGCTCCACTGGCAAACTTGTAACGTGACAGTATTGCAATTGTCTGCATATCATATCCGTGCACCTGTGGACGTGCTAATTCATGCCAAGTCAMCACATCGTCACTTTCGTCATTGCTTCGTCGCCATGGTGCATGTATACGCGTAGTCTGATCGGCGGACACACTCAATAAAAATTCACCGTTTGGGGCCCACGCCAAATCGCGTACTTCATCGAAATGTCCACCTATTATGACACCCGGTGACCAAAAGTTCTCATTATCCGCCATTTTATGCCATATATGGAAGCCGCCCTGATAGCTATGTCCAAATATGGATTTTCCATCACTAGAGAATTTTCCACCGTAAAATCCCAACGAATTACCACCCACTTCGCCTACACGCACCTTCTCCATCCACACACCGTCTTCACTAGGGGCCCAAATTATAATTGACTTATCGATTGAAACCGAAAGCAGAAGTAATCCTATAAAAGGTAGTAAAATATATATATTTTTTTAAATTTTAAACTACTCTTCTATATCTGCTACTACCGTGTTCCTGTGATCTGTGCCAGTTCACGCCGTACACCCAACCTTCATGTCCGTAGAGTACTGACTCCAAACTGATCGCACACCAGCTGCTACCACTTAAATGTATAATTTTCTCCTCCACTCGTATCTCCRTATCATCTTCCAGTATATTACAAATATCAACCTTATTTTCATGTGCTTGCTCCTCGGTTCGTTTTGAAATGCGCCACAGCCGTATGAAATTGTCTTGAGCAGCGCTTGCCAATAAAATATCATCGCCATCTTCGATAGCATCAAGCGCTCGCACCCAGTCCTCGTGGCCAGTCATTTGATGTACCATTCGAAATGGTTGTGCACCTGCCTCAGCGTTACTAGCTTTAAGTGGCTGATTTTGTGCCCAAATATAAATGTTTCCTTTATCATTTCCATAAGCCAGAAGAAACTGCTCACTTTTTGGCATTCGAAAAAGGCTAAGCCCAAGTGTGTAACTGTTTTTACTACTTATTTTTTGCACTAATTCAGTATTTAAAGTGTTGAAACTCCACAATGATACAGTCTGCTCAGCAGCTGTAGCAATTAACCAATTATTGTGTTCCAAGTACAGACTTGTAATATCTGTGACTGGGCCATCATGATTAAGTATTTCAAAACTCACATCACTTCTTTCTCTATCAAATCGCCATATAAAGGCTTTACAATCATCGGCACCAGAAATGAAGTATGTTTCAGGCTTAGCGGACGGCAAGCGCAACCAGTGTACTGTATTTACACGAGCTTCATGCCCTTTGTAAGTGGCAATATTTTTGGTGGAACCGTTATACTTTTTTTTTTAGAGATATAAGAATGTTATTTATTAATATCGGTTAGTAATATGTACATATATGTTTTACTTACGTTGGGATCAACTACCGCCACAGAAAAGTGTGCGCCGAAAACGATCAAACCGTTATCACCCCAGTCGGCGCAATGGGGAGTTGGATTGCATGCAGCTGATGCATAAACTGTATAGTCGGAATTTTTTATTTTGTGCGAAGTATCACTCATGTTTACAATTTTTTTTTTTAAATAGTAAACTGTGAAACTTACAAGAGATTTTAATTTACTTATGTTAYGACGGCACGTTTTCGCATACCACRCCAATTGGAATTATTCTATCGCTATTTTTGTTTTGATCCGAGTACAGTGCTGGAAAATTTCATAATTTTTGTTATTGCTTTTATTTCTAAATAAAATTTTGTAAGGAAACTGTATATCGTTATGTTATTAATTTCTAAAAATTTAAAATACTAAAACACAATATGTTTTACTTCCATTAAATATATTTATGTATTTAATATAAAATTTGTTTTCGTATACCAATGCCGATTACTACTGAACCGATTAGTAATGATAAAGTGTTAAATGCAACCTTTCAGGATTAATATTTGTTACTCAAAATATGGCCATATTGGCAAAAGGGACGCTGCTAGAAAAATTTTAACGGAACGTTTGACAAGTCAAGTTATACAAAACGAGTAGTAAGCGCTGGCATTTTTTCTTATTTGTTTAGTTTTGTGTCAAATAATAATAAAATAAATAATTGTGAACGCTAACATTTAAAGAAAAGGTCTTCTTAAAAATGGGTCGTAAAAGAAAAATACCCATTGCAGATGAAGAAAAAGAAAATACAGTTGCCGCAAGCCGTCAGCGGGGTGGTGGTGTTAGCGCTACAGCCAGCAATTCAATGATGTTGCACGGCCCCATGTATACAATAATGTCCAATGTGCAATTAAATGAAACTAGCCACAAAAAATATGTAAAAGAATTGAAACAACTGTACACCAAGGTGTGTAAATAACAAAGTAATGCGTTATTTTATCTATGTTTATATCTATAGTGTTGTTTTTTTTTGGTAGATGGATCATGATGCATTCATGTTTACATTCATAAAAATGATAAAAACTGCAATGGTTGCTGATGAGGGTAATGAGTATGCAGATACGACATTACTATTTTGTTCTAAATTTGTAAGTTCATATGACGGCGAGGACACACATCCCGTGCTAATTGATATGTGCAAGTGGCTACTTACGGTAAGCGCTAACTATATAAGTATTGAATTAAATATACTGTATTTGTATTTTTGTAGACCATTTCGCGTAATCCACACATACGATTTCGTATTTGTCAATTTGTTAATATGATACTCAAGGCGCTGGGACAAGAGGCAGCGCTAGATGATGCCATATGCGATCGCATATTGGAATATATGTTGCATCGTTTGCACGATACTTCGCCGAATGTGCGCGTGCAAGCAATATTAGCAATGCAACGTTTGCAAGTGCCAGACAATCCAGACGATCCCGTGCTGCGTGCTTATCAGTTTCATCTTTGTTCTGATCCGTCGTCACGTGTGCGTCAAGCGGTAATAACTTGTATGGGACGCAATTATCATACAATTCCTTATATATTGGAGCGTTTGTGGGATATTGACGAAAAAGTTCGTCGCCATACATATTTACATATGAGTAGTTACCCAGTGCGTTCATATAAGGTGTCACAGCGTTTGACCTTACTACAGCAGGGACTTAATGATCGTTCGGATGCCGTACGCAAAGTAGTAGTCACAATTATGTTACAGCAATGGATTGAATCTTATCAAAAAGATCTGATTGCATTCATATCGGCGTTAAAATTAGATTCGAGCGAAAGCGAAATCGATCGATTTCGTAAAGTGACGAAGCAAACGCTTAAGGA